AAGCTGAAACCTATGAGTATTCAGACTACTTCTCTATGTTCCCATTGTTCCTTGTCTTTTTAGGAAATACATGTGTATCATAAGCTTTCAGTACTCTTTGAAGTTACACTGAAATTCAGGCTTTGCAAGTTCTCACTTCCTGTTATAATATTAATAAGCTTCCAAGGCTGCTTATTAAAATAACAACCTGGAATTGACTTAAATCAAGAGAACTGTACTTTTTTCTCACTAAATGGTTCCTCTTAAAACCAAATCCAGAGGAAGTAAGAACTCTGTACTTTTCTACATGGATACTTTTAACTATTTGATTAAAAAATGCTGGGGAGGAGAATGAGCTCTGAAAAGGTCAATTAAAGAGAAAGAACAGAGGTTGAGTTTGGTGAGATGGGCTGTATTTGTCAAGGTATAATAAAGACGATGAGCTCATTCAAGATCTTAAAAATGATCTGGGAAAAGGTGCAGCTGCAGGGGTTTTCAGGGAACGCCCCTTACAGATAAGCCCTGTTAATGTGGGAATAAAGGAAATAGGTTTGGAAAATAGTCTGGATGGTTATTTTGAATACAAAAGCTTCAATCACATCCTGAAGACTAAGGAGAAATGTTGATGTTTTGTTTTTCATTTTGTTTTAAGAAAAATCAGCTTATTGTTCTTATAAAAATAATACATTGTAAAGAATTAAGCAATGCTTAAAAAAAGCACAAAGAAAAACAGTTTAAAACTCTTAGCCCCATTATCTAAAAATTACCATTATTAACATTTGATTAACATCATTCTAAATATCCTTTCATGCCTCTACACAGATAATATGACAGAATAATAGGTATATAGATAGATATATCTACTTTTTAAATGGTATCATACTATATGTATTATTTAAAAATTAAAAAGTATTAAATTCAAGCTTACATTAATGGCATTTAAAACACTAAAAGAAAAGCTGAGCATCAAGAAAGTGTTTATTACAAGCAATATTAGTTCTTAAAATATCAATTTAAGGTTAGAAAGAAGCAATTTTGATATTATGTTTCTTTTTCTTTCAAAAAATATATTTGAAATGAGAATCAATTGACCCTGCTATGGAAGATCAGGTCATCAGCATACTCACACTGTCTTCCATAAAACTTTCCCACAGGGCCAAATATTTCTTAGTTTTATTTTATTACATTGTTAATTTGTATAACATGTATGTTCTCTAAAACAGAAATTCACATGTGTGTTCAGTATTAATTCTGTTTTTAAATGGATTCACTGATCATCACATATCCTTTTACCAAGACTTCTCAATTCTTAGTCATAATTTTGTCCTATTTTTTAGTTGGCTGAACTTCACTTTCAAGTATTTCTTTTTTCTATGAGTTGTTTTATATTGATGGGAATCTGCCTAGTACCTTTATTTTTGGATGATATCTTGGCTGGATATATGATTCTTGGATCACACTTTTGTTCTTTCAGAATTCTGTAGAGAATGCTCTATTGTCTTTTGTCTTTGGATGTTGCTGTTGAAAAATTTGAGAACAGCCTGACTTTTTTTCTTGTAGATGATTTTCTTTTTTTCTGTCTGGATGCCTGAACTTCAATAAGTTAATTAAAATACATCTCCTGATTGAATATTTTACATCAAAATGTATTGTGTTGATCTTTCAAGCTATATATTGCTTCATCATTTTAGAGGGGACTCCTCTTTTTATATTTTTGAATACTTCTGTTTCATTTCATGAGTCCTCAACTCCAGGGACACCAATATCTCTGTCTTCCATATCTATTATCTTTTTCCTAATTGTTTTAATCTCTGTATTTTTCATGTCTTTGTCATGATTATTTCAAGTCTTTATTTCCACATCAATAATTCCATTTCCAGCCCTGTCTATTCTGTTCTTGCTATTAGTTTTATAATGCTATTGTTTTGGTCTTTGCTTTATTAGATATGCAATTTCCCTATTCATCTCTTTTGGTTGTTTTATTCCTCACTTCTGAGTTCTTAGTCTACTAGCTCATTTTCTTTTTAGGATTTTCTAGAGCTCAAAGCACTTGGAGTAATTTGTTTGTTTGTTTGTTTGTTTGTTTTTGTTTCTCTCCTTGCCTCCTGAATTTCTTCCCACTTTATATGAAAATGGTTTGGTTTTCCCAAAAAACTGCAGTTTGAGGGCTGTTATTTTATGCTGTGTGCACTTTTTCTATGATTTATAAGCTTTTCTGAAGGAGGGGAAGGGGCAGAACTCAGGGGACGTGCTATGCAGCTGTTGTTAGAATACCAAAGTTCTGCAATCACTTCTGAGGTTTTAAGTGTCTATTCCAGATTTCACTCTGCTAGGGATGGGTATATCCCATTCCTACGGGAAAAGATCTCAGTCCTGGAGCCTCCCCTAATTCGGTATGCTTTCCCGGAGTCTTCACTGCTACGCAAAAGAATTAGCCCATTCTTCACTTCTCATTTCACCTTCTCCTCCCAGTAGCAATTTTCCAGAGAGAAGAGATGAAAGCTAAAGAAACCACTTAATTTTCTTTTCTGTTGGAATGTATGTGCATATAAGTGTTAGTCCCCAGGATTTTGTGCACCTACTAGCATGTGTTTTGATGGAATGGAGGCAGGACTGGAAGCCTTGACATGCTCCAGACCAGAATCTTCTGTTTCTTTCCCTGGCTGCTGCTTGTTGATATCTAAGATACTGAGTTGTTACCCTCTGTTTGCTGTGGATAAAATTTTAACTTTTTAAACTTTCTTAGGTAATGGGAGAAACAGCGTCTATGAGAAAGCTTTATCCCATTATCTTAACCTAGAAGTATAATACTTTTAAATGTATATATTTATTTTTTCTGATTATGTTATTTATATATACATAGCAAATAATTATGTTGTACACCTTAAGCTAATGTGTACAATGTTGTATGTCAATTATATCTCAACAAAACTGGGGGGAAAAGCCTGGGAAAAAATAAAATAAAAGTTACGTATCACTGCTGTAATTCAAACCATACAGAAATGCATAAAGTAAAAAATGAATGTTCCTTACAATACAGCTCCCAAGAATATCACTTTTAACTGTTCCCTGATCTTTTTTATATATTTCTTTTCTTTTTTTTTTTTTCTTGTCAATGCTTTGGCCTTTCAGGGAGCATCACTGGAAATATGTGAATACGTAAATGTTTAAAGAACAGCTTTATTAAAGTAGGTTTTACATACCTTAAAATTCACCTATTTCACATGCGCAATCTAGTGACTTCAGTAAACATGGAGTGTTTACTGAACTGTATGGAGTGGTGCAACCACCACCACAACATAACTACTTTTTGCAAAAAATACAGTTACTTTCTTGATTCCTACTTAACTACTCTCCCAATTCTAAAATATACTTACAGATGCCTGCAGTATGCTAAACATAGCTAGGAGAACTTTTGGGTAGTTCTGTTCCTGCCCATTGAGCTTGACTATCAAATGTCAGGGGGGTTTGTTCTACTTATTTATATCAATGATACTTGCTATTATAATTTAATTAAAATTTTGAAAACTTATAAAATATGAGTGTAAATATAAAAGAGATGTTTTTGTGAAAAGTTGAATGCATTGGAAAGGCTCATTGAAGGCAAGTTGTTAAAAAAATTGTTATACTGTGTATGTGTGAGAAATGTATCGGAGATTGGAAAACTACAAATCCATAAGAATTTTGCATTCAGATTGCTTAACAAGTGTCTTCAGTTATTGCTCCACTTTAAAGGAACACTTGAAGAAATCATAGATAACTTGTCAAAGAAGAGAAGCACAAACTGCTCCAAGAAACAGTTCAATCAGAGGCCCCATAATTATAGAAAAGCCTGAGGCTATGTAAAAAGATTGGTGAAGGAATTTACATTTACAAGTTAAAATAAAATGCTTATAAAATACAATAAACTTATTTCCTTAAACAAAACTTGTATTTTATATAATGCTTTTAACTTCTGCATTTTGATTGACTTTTTCAATTAACCTACTGCCAGTCCCAACAGCATCTGATAAAAGGGTCTCTGTTGGGTTTGTAACCTGCTTTACCTTTACAATATACTGAGAATGTTTATCATGTTACTATATATTAATCTACTTTATCCTTTATAAAACCTGCCTCATAATATTTCATTGCATAGTGGGTACACCCTAATTTACTTAATAAATTCTCTATTTAAACTATGTCAATGTTTTTACGGGCGGGGAGGTGCGGGGATTTGAGCAGAGAACTACGATGAAAGAGGACTGAAATAATCAATCTACAATAGAACATAAAATGTATTAAAGGAGGGACGGGGGCGGGGGCAGAAGGATGGAAAAGGGGAAGATGATAGATGAGAAGCTCCTGCAGGAACCCAGTTCTGTGAATAGACCGGGAAGTGGCAGTGGCTTTTCTCATCACTCTTAAGCATCCAACAGTTGTTCTTGTCAGTCTGGAAAGCCCTGGTATTTCCCGAAAACACACTCTACTTTTCCTCCTCTCCACCTTTGCTCATTCCAGTCCTTCTCCCGGATTTCATCTTTGCCTGTTGAAACCGTCCGTACCTTTCCTTCAAGATCCTTAATAACTACCACACTCCCTGCCTTCTTTGGCCCTGGCTAGAAATTATCCCTCTCCTTCCGTTTTTAATAGATAGCTAAGGTCTCCCTTCCTTCCTTCTTTTCCCAAAGTTATTTTTCTTCCAAAGGCAGTACAGTGCAGAGATTAAAAGCAACGACTTCGGAACCTCCAATTTGCTCTCTCCGCGACCTTGGCACCTTACCCAAATTCTCAGTGCCTCAGTGTCCTGACTGTGAAATGGGGAGAAGTGCATACAGTTGCTACGAGGATAAATCAGTGAACAGATATAAAAGCACCCAGAGAGGTGTTTGATGTGGAGTAAGTGCTGCATAAACGTTAGTATTCATTTTGTTAGTGGCTGTCACCGTGGCGGACAGCCTACCTAGAGCCTCACGTCAGAGAAGACGCCCATCCCGCGGGGCAGCCCCGGCGGAGGCGTGAAGGAAGCGCGACGTCGGACCCGCGCCAGGCCCCGGCTCGGGAGCGCGCTCACGTGGCCGAGCCAAGATGGCGTCGTCCAGCTCGTTGTGGTTCTCGGCTGTTGCTCTCTTGCTGGCGTCCTGCGCCACCCTGGGGATGGGGCGCTTCGGCCCGCCCGCGCCGCTGCCGCTGGTGATCTGGCATGGGATGGGTGAGTCAGTAAGAGGAGTTTTGCAACTCTTTCCCTCTTTCATCCTGGGTTCGCGTCTGCAAAGGGAGAGTGCGAAGGGCGAGGACCGTGGTCACACAGAAGCCGGCTGGCGGGATATTAGGAATTGGGGGCTGCTTTGCATTGGGAAGGGAGAAGGGCAAGGATCTGTCCTTTCGTGAGGGCTCCCAGACGTCTGTGGACTGAGTTCGGGTTTTACATGCTGAACTTGTTTAATCAATCGCCAGCAGTGGCGTCAGGATGCGGTATCTGGCACTTGTTCTCTGAGAGCTGGACTGTGGCTGTGTGACCCAGGCATCCATCCTTTTATTCATTCACACTTTGAACAGAAATTTGTTAGGCACCTATAGTTCATTTATACATTTAACGCACACTTATGAGCACCTATAGATGCTGAGAATACAGTAGTGAGCACAACAGACTAAATTATTTGCCCTTTTGTAACTCACTTTCCAATGGGAGAGACAGACTATAAAGAAATAAGTAAAACATATAGTATGTCAAATGGTGATAAGTGCGATGAAAAAAAGTAAAACAGAGAGGGGTGGAGAAACTGAAGATTGAGGCTTGCAATTTTATAGAGCAAGATCAGGAAAGGATTCACTGAGAAAGTGACATCTGAGCAAAGATCTGAAGTGGACAAAGAAGATGCCCTGTGGCTGCCTGGTCGAAGGAGTAGCAAATGCAAAGGCCCTGAGGCAGAAGTATATCTGGTATGTTTAAGAAACTACATTCACCTGACCAGTGTGGCTCATTTGGTTGGGTGACATCACAAAACAAATAGTCTTCAGTTTGATTCCTGGTCAGGGCACAAGCCAAAGGCAACTAATGAATGTTTTTCTCGCACATGGATGTTTCTTCTCTCTCTCTCCTCCTCCCTTCCCTAATCTCTAAAAATAAAAAAAATAAAATAAAATCTTAAAAAGAAAAAAAGGAAAAAGAAACTATATGCAGGTCAGCGTGGTGGGAACTGAGTAAGCAAGGAGAAGGAAAATAGGGGTAGGTCAGAGGGTGGGGGGACGGAGGCTGCAAGTGTTAGGCCTACTAAGGCTACTATAGGGACTTCGGCCCGAATGAGGTGGGAAGCCCTTGAAGGGGAGAGTGGAGATAGATGAGTGACATGATCTTAACTCACATTTTAAAAGGGCCGTTGCAGTTGTAATAGATTGTGGAGATCATGGACATTTGCAGGGAGACAAGGTAGGAAGCTATTGCAGTAATTTAAACAAGAGATGATGATGGCTTGAAACAGTATAGTAATATGGAGAAGTGGTCAAAGTTTGGAATATTTTGAAGGTGGAACCGATGGGATTTGCTAACAGATGAGATGAAGGATGAGAGAGAAAGAAAGGAATCAAGGCTGACTCCCTTGAGTTTTGGCCTGAACAACTACAAGGATGAAGTTGTCATTTTACCAAAGCGCAGAAGTCTTTAAAGGAGCACACGTGGGGAGGGGAGAAGTTCAAGGATCTGCTTTTGAACTTACTAAATTTGAGATGCTTGTTAGACACCCAAGAGATGTTGTAGATGTATTTGGAGTATGGAATCCAGGAGAGAGATAAAGTCCAGAGATTTAAGTTGGGGAGCCTTCAGCATATAGCTGGTATTTAAAGCCATGAGACTGGGTGAAATAATCTAGGGAGTGTACACAGAAGAGGGGAGAGGTCTGAAGATTGAACCCTGAGACACTCCCAACAAATGGAGGTTGAGGAGATGGGGAGGAACAAGCAAAGAAGATGGTGATGGAACAACCAGGGAGGTGGAGGAAAGTCAGGAGAGTACAATGTCCTGGGGATCAGGTGACAATGTTTCAAGAGGAAGGGAGTAATCAACTATATGGAATGTTGTTGACAAGTCAAGTAAGATAAGGACAGAGAATTGGTTGTTGGATTTAGCAATATCAAGATCACTAAAGACCTCAACAAAATGGGGAGAGGGAGAACCTTAATGGGATGGGTTGAAGGAAAGTGTTCAGGGAGGAATTAGAGCCCCCAAATACTGATAGTTCTTTCAGGGTTCTGTGCCAGGTCCTGGGGCTGCTACAGAGGAGATAAACAAGAACACAAGGTGCTCCGGGTCTTCCCAGACCAGTCAGTCCATAAGGCAGCAGGGAAGTAAGCAAGAATTATAGTTCAGCGTGGCAAATGTTTTATGAGAGAAATCAAAGATGCTGTAATCCTTAGCTTTTTCTTCTTTAAAAACTAATTCTTAAGCTTCCTCTCAGCCTACTTCTCCCACCCAGTGGCCAACCACTTTGCTTCCCATTCCTATTTCTGGTTCCTTAAAACAGGAAAAGAAACAGGGCAGGGCCTTGGGTGAAACAAGGAAGCCCCGCAGGCAGCAATTTTCACCATTTTTCATGTCATGGCACACAGAAACTAATTACTAAAATTCCGTAGCACATCAAAATATATACTTTTAGCCGATTTGACCAAAAAAACCCAAAAGAAGTATGATTTTGATTCATTCACACTGGACGGCTGTTTTGTGGGCTGTTGTCATTTTTTATTTTACAATCTAAGGGAAAAGAGGTCAGTCCTCCTGACTGACTAGTCAGGCATTGCATATTTTAAAAATTCTCATGGCATACCACTGTGCCTGCCTTAGCATGCTGATTGAAAACCCACTACCCTGGAGTGTATGATTTAAAGAAGCACTCACTCTGGAGTGCATACAAGTTCATGGTCAGCACTTGCATGAACCTGAGAGTGAACCTTAAATTTTGTGTCTTAGGTACTTCGCATGTCTTACCCTAGTCCTGGCTTAAAGAGAAATTCAGTTCTAAAATACTTTTGAGTCCATTAACCCAAAATGTCCCTGATGATAAGGGAGGGCAATTTGCACCTCTGCTTATTTTTCATTTGTCAATTTGGTGTTTTATTATAATGTATGTGTTTTTGAAGTTTATTACTTAATAAACGTGAGCTAAGCAAAAAATGTGGTTTTTTTTTATTGTGGTGAAATTCATGTGGCATACAATTAAGTATAATAAAGTGTATAATTTGGTGGCATTTAGTGTATTTATAGTGTTGTACAACCACCACTTTCCTCCAATTTTTTTTTAATCTTCACTAGAGGATATGTTTATTGATTTTAGAGAAAAAGGGAGGTGGGGGGAGAGAGAGAGAGAAACCTTGATCAGTTGCCTCCAATACGTGCCCCAACTGGGGATCAAACCTGTAACCTAGGTATGTGCTCTGACCTGGGATCGAACCGCAACCCTTTGGTGTACGGGAGGGACAACAATCTTACCAACTCAGCGACTGGGCCAGGTCCACTTCTCTAGTTTCAAAACTTTTTTTTTAGTCACCCTAAATAATCATTCTTCATTCCCTGTCTGCCTCAACCCCCTGAAAATGTTCAATCTGCTTTCTGTCTGTATGGATTTGTCTGTTCTGGGTATATTATATAAAAGGGATTATACGAGGCCCCCCCGCCGCCGCCTACCCTCACTTGGTGGCTCCCGCTCCCCACCCCGCTGTCCTCTGCCTGCTGTTCTCTGTAGGTTCTCTGGTTAGTCTGCCGTTAGTCAGCCACAGCCTCTTCCAACACCTGCCCTAGTCTCCGAACCTGCAACTCGCGGACAAGCGTCCTCGGCCCAGAGAGGCCAGATTCGGAGCCGTCGCTTGAGTGCCTTTCATCTGAGAAGTTTGAGGCACTTTGTAGAACTCCTGCCACACAGGCCGTGGGTCTTGCAGCACATTTGTAAGCCATGGCTGCCATCCAAAAGGAGATGGAACCTGTGGCAAGACTTGCTTGTCATCGTTTTTAGCAAGGACCAGTTTCCAGAGGTATATGTACCTACAGTGTTTGAGAACTATGTGGCAGATATTGAAGTGAATGGAAAGCAGGTGGAGTTGGCTTTGTGGGACACAGCTGGACAGGAATATTATGATCACTTGAGGCCCATCTCCTACCCTGACACCGGCGTTATACGGATGCATTTCTCCCTTGACAGCCCCGATAGTTTAGAAAACATCCCAGAAAAATGGACTCAGGAAGTCAAGCATTTCTGTCCCAATGTGCCCATCATCTTGGTTGGGAACAAGATGGGTCTTCGGAATGATGAGCACACAAGGCGGGAGCTAGCCAAGATGAAGCAGGAGCCAGTAAAACCGGAAGAAGGCAGATATATGACAAACAGGACTGGCGCTTTTGGGTACATGGAGTGTTCAGCAAAGACCAAAGATGGAGTGAGGGAGGTTTTTGAAATGGCCCCGAGAGCTGCTCTGCAAGCCAGACGTGGGAAGAAAAAAATCTGGGTGCCTTGTCTTGTGAAACCCTGCTGCAAGCACAACTCTCAGGGGGTTAATTTTGAAGTGCTGTTTAGTAATCTTAGTGTATGATTACTGGCCTTTTTCATTATTCTGTAATTTACCTAAGATTACAAATCAGAAGTCATCTTGCTACCAGTATTTAGAAGCCAACCATGATTATTAATGATGTCCTACCCACCTGACCTGCCGGTGTCCTTCTGACACCGCTCTAATAACCCTCCTCTGCACTCCCACCGGATACACCGGTTCTAATTCAAGGAATTTCTTAACTTCTTGCTTCTTTCTAGAGAGAGAAAATGGTAACTTTTGTGAATTAGGCTGTAACTACTTCATAACTAACATGGCTTGCCTGTCATCTGTCAGCTGTAAGGTACTCTGGTCAGTCACCACTTCAGACCTTTCCTCCTCAACAGATTTCATTGGCAGAGCCCTGGAGTGGGCATCCAGTTTTTTCAAAACGTGCTCAACCAGAAAGGCCCAAGTCCATGCAGCTGTGGCAAAGTTACAGTTCTGTGGTTTCATGTTAGTTACCTTATAGTTACTGTGTAATTAGTGCCACTTAATGTATGTTACCAAAAAATAAATATATCTACCCCTGACTAGATGTGGTATTTTTTGTATAATTGGATTTCCTAATACTGATATTTGTCATCCTCACAGAAAGTGTATTATTTTTTTTTTTTTAAAGAAAGTGTATTTGAAAATAAAGTCAGGTGGAAATTCAAATAAAAAGGAATCATATGATATGTGACCTTTTGTATCTGGCTTATTTCACTTACAGTGTTTTCTAGGTTCATCCACATTGTAGCATGTGTCAGTACTTCATTCCTTTTTACGGCCGAATGTTATTCTGTTGTATGTATATGAGTATACGTGACAATTTGTTTATCCATTTATTCATTGATGGACATTTGGGTTATTTCTACCTTTTACCTGTTAAAAATAATGTGGCTATAAATATGCACATGCACATTTCTGTATGGACATATGTTTTTATTTCTCTTGGGTATAGATGAGGTCTGTCCGGAAAACATCCAGCCATTGCTAATGTGAAGAGGACAGCTTGCACAACTTTGATGTAACCTCGCAGCCAAGGAGAGTGGACTGAAATGCACATGTGTGAACAATGACAGCTTCATTGCATTGGTCCGTGGGGGTGGTAGACACTGTTGAGTGAACATTTGTACTGTGTGGCGATAGCATTTAAAATGGCAAGTAGAGCAATGAATCTGCATCAAATTTTGCGTTAAGCTTGAACATTCCTCTATGGAAACTATTCAGGTGAGGCAGAATGCTGCAGCTATGGGCAACTGGTGATTGGCAGCTTCATCACAACAACACGCCTTCTAATGCATCACGTCTTGTACAGAGATTTTTGGCAAAACATCAAATCACCCAGATGACTCAGCCCCCCTACAGCCCAGATTTGACAGCCTGAGAATTCTGGCTTTTCCCAAAGCTAAGGGAAGAGATTTCAGAACACCAATGAGATTCAGGAACATAACGATGTGGCAGCTGATGGCAATTGAGAGAACTGTGAGGTCCCAAAGTGCCCACCTCGAAGAGGACTGAGACGTCATTGTCCTGTGTACAATGTTTTTTGTATCCTGTATCTTCTTCAATAAGTGCCTCTTTTTCACATTACATGGCTGGATACCTTCTGGACAGACCTCGTATATCTGGAAGTGAAATGGCTGGGTCATATGATAACCATATATTTCACTTTTTGAGGAACTACCAACATGTTTTCACAGTGGCTGCGTCACATTACGTTTCCACCAGCCATGTACAAAGGTTCCTATTTCTCCATATCCTGCCAGTGCTTGTTATTTTCCTTCTTTAAACTTAACTAGTAAACTATTCATTAAAGCCATCCTAGTAGGTGTGAAGTGGTATCTCATTGTAGTTTTTTTTTAAACTTTTATTTATTGATTTTAAGGGGATAGGAAGGGGGAGGGGGAAAGAAACATTGATTTTTTTTGTTCCACTTATTTATGCATTCATTGGTTGATTCTTATATGTGCCCTGACCTGGGATTGAACCCACAACCTTGGTGTATCAGGACCACACCTTACCCAACTGAACTACCTGGCCAGCATTCTCATTGTAGTTTTGATTTGCATTTCCCTAATGACCAATGATGTTCAATATCTTTTCAGGTGTTTCTTGGCCATTTGTATATCATTTTGGAGATATGTCTGTTGAAGTCCTTTTCCCCATCTTTAATTAGGTTTCTTCATGTCATTGAGTTGTAAGAGTTCTTTGTATATTCTAGATATTAAACCTTCATAAGATAGATGTTTTGCAAATGTTTTCTCCCATGCTATATGTTGTCTTTTCACATTCTTGATAATGCCCTTTGAAGCACAGAAGTTTTTAAAAAATAATGTTTCGATTCATGAGTTCTCATCATTGTCTTTGATGTCTAGGAGACAGCTGTTGTAATCCCTTAAGTATGGGTGCTGTCAAAAAAATGGTTGAGAAGAAAATACCTGGAATTTACGTCTTATCTCTAGAGATTGGGAAGACCCTGATGGAGGTAAGGCTCTTTTTGTAGCCCTGTTCCTTTGAAGGTTTGCTGACTAAATTCAGGGGGTGTACCATTAAAATGCTTTACCTTGTATTTTTAGCAGCAAATCATGCAATGACACTTTAACTGTTGAGTGGCCTGTGTGAGGACACCAACCTAAACAAGTTTACCTCTTAGAGAAGACACCAGTGTTTGTTTTCAGTCCCATCTTTTCACTTCTCTGCGGCTCCTCTTTTAGGATGTGGAGAACAGCTTCTTCTTGAATGTCAATACCCAAGTAACAACAGTGTGTCAGATTCTTGCTAAGGATCCTAAGTTGCAGCAAGGCTACAATGCTATGGGATTCTCCCAGGGAGGCCAATTTCTGTGAGTTCATTTCTGTTACACCAATTACATGGAATTGATTTCCTTTTCTCTTATTCAGATAGATCCACTCCTCTAATTCTTTTTTTTTTTTTTTAATCCTCACTCAATGACATGCTTATTGATTTATTGATTTTTTTAGAGAGAGGGAAAGAGAGGGAGAGAAACCTAGGTGTGGGAGAAAAACATCGGTCCGTTGCCTCTAATACATGCCCCAGCTCAGAACTGAACCTACAGCCTAGGCGTGTGCCCTGACCAGGAATCGAACCTGTGACCTTTTGACTTATGGGATGACTCTCCAACCAACTGAGCCTCATCTGCCAGGGTGTCTAGTTCTCTTTGGATCTTCACCTGTCTTGGAAGAGAAACTATTATTTTTTCATTTTTTTTCAAGCTATAAGAGAAAGTATATTTAGAAAGTCAGAAAGGTAGAAGTGAACTGTAGAAGAGATGGGCTCAGAGGCAAAAGCAAGGCCCTTGGAGCTAAGGAGAAAGAGAGAGAAGGAAAACCCACCTGAGCGGAGGGGGTGGGGAAAGGTACCAGCGTGCTCTGTAGGGAGAGCCACTTGGAAACTATTCTAAAATTTTTCCATAAAGAAGCTTTATGGAACTTCTTTTCTTTCTTTTTTTATCCTCACCTGAGGACATTTTTTCATTGCTTTTAGAGGGAGAGGAAGGGAGAAAGAAAAACACTGATGTGAGAGAGACAGACGCATGCCCAGTTGCCTCCTGCTCGCACCCAGACTGGGACTGTACACACCTGGACTGGGGAACGAGTGCCCTGACTGGAATAAAAAGCGCAGTCTTGGGGTTATGGGACAGTGCCCCAGCCGGCTGAGCCGCGCAGGCCAGGGCTTTGGAACTTATGTTTTATGAAAGAATTAAGATTTGTGTTTGGTCGTATCAAGGGAAAATCCTGAAACTTGGTGGCCTTGGGAAACTACAGAGAATTAAGTATCTTATTCTGAGAAATTTTGTGTTGGGGCTACATTTCCATCTGATAGTCATAACTGATAACCCTTTTCCCCTTCTCAGGAGAGCAGTCGCTCAGAGATGCCCCTCACCTCCCATGGTCAATCTGATCTCAGTTGGGGGACAACATCAAGGTAACTTTGGCCTCTTTGCCTCCTTTTTTTGAATGTTCTAGCCCACATGACCAATTGACTTAAAATAAAATAAAAAAATAATCTAGCAGCTCTATTTGTGCAAAAAGTCAGCCACCCTCGCAAAATTCTGTTTTCCCAGCTTATCAGACTAGCCAGCATTCCCGAAAAAACAGGAAGAGACTTGGGGTGCCATAGACCCAAACACATGTGAATCATTAAGTTGCCATCTCTCTCTCTCTCTAGTTTAATTAACGTGATTTCCTGGAAGTGAGATGGTCGCAGCCACATAGCACGTGGTCGGGTTAAGGAATTAGGAAAGTCGAACAACCTTTTCTGTTTTCTAACATTGGTGACATCTATAGAGTTTAGGCTTATGCAAAGAATGTCTAAGCTCTTTTTGTCTGTAAATGAACAATAGTGATTAAATCCTTCAGAGAAAATGGGTTTCCTGTTTAGGCAGAATTACAGACTTTAAAAAAGGTTATATCTTCAGAATAGAACTTTATCTCTGTTCTGATAAGCGTAACTATTAGGCGATATAGTGTAGGGGTAGAAGGGTTCTCCTTATAATCAGGAAACTGGATTCACCCAATTAACTGTTACTGATTGGGCAAGTGATTTGGTATCATCGGTCCCTTTCACAGATGAGGGAAACTAAAATAAGGCCCTGCTCTTCTTGCAGGAATTTTTCAGAGGATGAAGTGAAGTAATAGGCAGGAAAATAATTTCTAGAAGTATTATTCAAGTGCAAATTGATTAAAACAGCTTTATCATTTGTTCATTCAAGAAATATGTATTGAAAACCTATAAACAAGACAGACAAGGTCCCTGCCTTCATGAAACATCCATTCTAGTTGAGGTGGGGTGAGTATAGACATGAAACAAATAAAATACAGTCAGTGGTAACTAAGATAAAGAAAAAAATGGGTTACGACTTGATAGAATGGTGGTCGCATTGGGTGCAGGTGTGGGCTCTGAAGCGCGATCTGCCTGTGTTCATCTCTTGGCCGTGTCACTGACTGTCTACCCTTGGGCGAGATATTAAATGTCTCTGTTTTAAACGTATTTGTAATATGGGGCAAATAATGATTTGATGGTTGTGGGGATTAAATTAGTCAGTGTGTGTTCAGCACTATGCTTGGTACCCCAAAAAATGTTATTGAGGAGGATAATGAGGATGAAAGTGTAACTGGGAGAGGGGAAGGAAGCGGGGTTGGATGCTACTTGCGGCAAGGCAATCAGATATGACTTCTCTAAGCTAAGACCTGCGAGGTGCAAGTGAGTCCAGCCATTGAAGCAGCAAGAGAAGTACAGGCATACTTTGTTTTATTGCACTTTATTTATTGTGCTTCGCAAATACTGCATTTTCATCAACATCTGGGGAGACCCTCCACCAGCAAAAAGATTACAGCTCACTGAAGTTCCAGATGATGGTTAACAGTTTTAGCAATAAAATATTTTCTAATTAAGGTATGTGCTAATTAGGTCTAATTATGTTTTTAGACCTAAGACTGTCGCACACTTAATAGACTACAACATAGTGTAAACATAGCTTATATGCACTGGGAAACCAAAAAACTCAAATGGCTCATTGTGATATTCACTTTATTGCAGTGGTCTGGAACTGAACCTACAGTATCTCTGAGGTATGCCTGTACATCCTCCAGGGAGGAGCAGGTGCAAAGGTCTTTATGCAGAAAAGAGTGGGAGTATAAGGAGGTAGCTGGTTATAGCACTAATCCTCAATACATTATTTTCTTGAAGAATACATGAAAGAAATTAGGGTTAAGCTCTGGCTTTTTCTGTTGTTTCTCATAGTGCCTTGTATATAGTAGGTATTCAATACATAATTATTGAAGGAATGGATAATTGTCTTCTATTACTCTAGGTGTTTTTGGACTCCCTCGGTGCCCAGGAGAGAGCTCTCACATCTGTGACTTGATCAGGAAAACTCTGAATGCTGGGGCTTACAGGAAAGCTATTCAAGAACGGTATGTATGGTTAGCTGAAAAGGACTTAACTGTCACTGCCTGAAAACACCATGCTGACTTTCATGCTAACAGTGATTCCTGGTGATATTCAGATGAGATTGTTTTTGTAAATATCTCTGTACTATCTGCTCAGTTTTATTGTAAACTTAAAACTGCTTTAATGTTAATTTTAAAAAGAAAGGGAAGGCTGCCCTGACTGGTGTGGCTCAGTTGGTTGGGCGTTGCTCCACAAAGGGAACGGTCTCCAGTTCCATTCCCGGTCAGGGCGCATGCCTGGGTTGCAGGTTTGGTCCCTGGTCGGTGCATGTATGAGAGGCAACCGATCCATGTTTCTCTCTCACATTTATGTTTCTCTCCCTCTCTATCTCCCTCCCTTCTGCCCTCTCTAAAAACAAATAAATAAAATCTTAAAAAAATAAAAAGATAGGGCATTTTTCTATATAGGAAGAATGTAATTCCAACAGAATAAATGTTTATTTTAAAAACAAACAAACAAAAAGCCTTTAGAAAGTACCAAGCTCAAGGAATTACTGTTAATATTGGAGGAGAGATTATTTTTGTTGTCAGCGGCAAGTGGTTAACCTCTTACAATCAATGTCCCCAACTACTCAAATGTGTTTGGATATTTATTTATTCTCTCCCCCGCACTGTGTGTGTGTGTGTTTGGGTTTTAAAAACACACAGAATCTCTTTTGGAATATGTTCTTGTTCAGTTGTTTCTAAACCAAAATATATATCAGAACCCTATGGGAAATTCATTAAAAATGGATTCTAGGGCTCCATTCCTAGAAACTCAGATTCAGTAGGTCTAGAGTATTAGAGGTGACAACTGAGATTTGAGGTCAACATGCATGGTTATAATATCTGTCCTATGGGTTTTCCAAGTGTATCATTTTTTTCTAATAACAACTCTTCAATACAACACTTCCTTGAAGCAGCCATTTTCCAAGGTATAACTATGAATGACTCAAATAGAGAAAAACAATCTTTTCCTTTTCTTCCATTTGCTGTACTTATAGTCACAAAGTGGTCTTAGGTCTACAACGCCACCTGATGGTCAGTGAAGGAAACTGAGATACTTTATATTTCCATCTTCCCTCTCAAGCAACTCAAACCACTGCATTTATGTCCTACATATTCCTTGTTCTCATGGATTTATATGGCCTCTTTATCATTCTTTTTTTTTAAAGATTTTATTTATTAATTTTAGAGAGGGGGAAGGGAGGGAGAAAGGGAGGGGAACATCAGTGTGAGAGAGAACCATCGATTGGTTGCCTCTTATGTGCCATGATTTGGGGCGCGGGAGTGGGGGAGGGCTGAGCCCACAACCCAGGCATGTGCCCTGATGGGGAATTGAATCTGCAACTTTTCACTTTGCAGGGCAGTGCCCAACTGGCTGAGACACACTGGTCAAGGGACTGGTTCTTTTTTAGGAGATTGTCTCGGTCTGAGGTTAGACACTGTTCCAATTCAGATTCTTAGGAAAGAGATCATGCCCCAGCTCAGGACAGGTTCCTACTTGTTCTCATTAGCTGTGGCCAACCATACCCCCTCCTGTAATTGGCAGGAGGGGACAGGAAGGGTGTAGTTCCCACACAAAGGAGAATGGTTTTAATTTAGGCAGAGACCCCAGAAGACGTTTCTTCTACATTGTTCAGATAATTTAACCATAGCAAAGTAAATTTGATATCTTTACACCCTGAGTAAGCAGTGAGGAAGTGTTTTCAAGTACCAGGCCCGGGCCAGGCGCGGTGGGGACAATGAGTGTAATAGTACCCTCTCACCTCCTGACTGTGCAATCTGCTCTCCAGTTCCCCTCTGAGATACTGGCAGCCCGTCCTGATTTCTCCTTCCTCAGTTTTCCCCGCCACCCCCCACCCCGCAGTGCCACCCTGGCCCTGGCCTGCCGTCTGCCCCTGTGGCAGCTCTGCTCTCCCAACCCGCCCTCTCCTTGGTCCGTGGCTTTCAGAGCGCTTGTCCTCCGTTGTCCCCCTTTGCCCACAACTTGCCACACGTTGTCCTAGAAATACTGACTCAAGCTCCCTCAGATACTTTTCAACTGTTCATAAAAGTATAGAGAGTAATGTAACAAACTACTGTTTTTGTCATATTCTCCTCAGCTATTTTTAAGAACAGGAACATTTCAGATAAAATTGTATTTTTCTACATGTCTCTCCCAAGTCCCATTCTCTGCCTTCCCTCCACAGTGACAACCACTATCAAGAAATCAGAATATAGCCTATTAAAAATTTTTGTATTATATATGGTACATAGCCATAATCAGCCAATATATAATGTCATAATATATATATTTAACATTTTATGTAATGGGTATCTTATTGTACATTTCATTCTACAAAGGATTTTTTTTCACTCCGTATTATGTTTTTGAGGTCTAAACATGTTATTACGTATACATGAAGCCGAGTTGTCTTAATTGCTACATGGCATTTTATTATATGACTTCACGGTTTGTTGATTCCGTATTGCAAATATTTCACCATTTCCAGTTTCTCATTTTAACAAACAACTTTCATAGAACATCATGGGTTGAAAAGCCCAGTTTTCCCCTCCTGTGTTCTGGCTCCACTACTAACACTTTGCCTATGACCATGGGCAAACTACTTAATTAATCACTCTGAGTATGGTTACCTCATTTGTAAACATTATAATAATAATAATACTTACCCTGTGGAATTCTTGTAAGGATTAAATAGGTTAACATATATGAAGTACTTAGAATAGGCCTGGTATATGGTAAGTGCTATGTGGTATTGTCATTATCTCTAAGCCACAATGACTAGAGCCTCAGAGGATAGAGGCTTATCTTACCAAGGATGGCCTGTGGTTGGGAAGTTCTGGCTTGGGAGTGTCCTTTCCTGCCTCTTCACATGCTTCACTGGAAAGAGTGTAGACTCAGACAGATTTAGGCTCATATCTTATCTTTTCTCATGCTGACTGTGTAGCCTTGGGAGATTTACTTAACCTTCCTGAACCTAGCCCCTCAGCGCTAAAGAGGAGGTAATAGTACAAACTCATGCTTCTTCTCTGTCCACCTCCTGAAGGGCCTCTCTCCCCCACCTCCCCATCTTCTGCAGCACTTCCAGCTTCTGCTCATCCTCACTTCCTTCCCCTTGGCTGTCCCATGGGCACTAGGCTTCTTACAAAAGAAAATGTCTTTCATTTCTTCCTGTTGCCCCTTCTTAGCTGTTTCCTTTTCACGCAGAAAGATGACCTTTGAGTACTGCTTTCATTCCTTCTTTTATCCTTAGCCGTTAGGCCTCCCCACTGCCACCCCGAGTCACCAGAACCTGTCTGGCAAGACCCAAAGAGCTTTGTCTTATTTCACTTACATTTTCCAAGGAAATTTGATTGGCCACCTATGCGTACTCAGTGCTCATCGTTTCTCAGCATTGGACACTTGACCACTCGTTCCTAAGGCTTTTTCTTCCCTCGTTCTTCTAACTAGACTCCCGTCAACATCTGTAAATCCTACCTCTCCTTGACTGCCAGGCCTACTTCTTTCACAGCTTGTCTGACTTCTCAACATCATTCTGTTTCATTCGTCAAACCCTTACTACTAAGTATCTGCCCTCTGCCAGACAGTCACTGCTGAGTATCTTACAGTCTTGGAGAGGAGGGACCAGGACCAATATTCTTACATGGTAAGCGATAACAATGTTCAAACAAAATGACGACTACTACTAATAACCAGTATTTTGTAAATGTTTGGAATTCATTACATTTTTTTCTAGAATTGCAGACACTAAACACTTAAAAGCTTTCAGATACATTTATAAACAGATTATAGAATGTCACTCAGACCACTGACAGTCCATCTGCTGCCCCCTTTAACCTCTGTCCTGTCTGCTCCTGGGGGTGAAGAGCTGCCACCATCTCTGAGGTAGTGGGTCCCGGTGGGCCTTAGTGCCACCCTAATCTGCTGAGTGGCGCTTTCAGGACCACTACCCCTGGTGGGCAGCTCTTCCACTCTGGCTGGGGGTTCTTGTTGTAGAAGTTTGGATTTCTTTTCCTGCCATACTGGGATAGAGTCCCACCCATGTTCTAATTCCTCCCTTTCCCCAGAGGACTTCTCCCATTAGGCCCACGCTCAGGCTTCTTTCAAGCTGCAGCGCTGCTGTGCGATGCAGGAACTAAGTGGGAACTAGATGCTGGGAGGATTTATGGTAGAAGTGTTAGGATTGGCGGGGGAGGGTAGGAAGGGAGGGAAGGGGAAGTGGAGACAGGCAGGAAAGTAAAAATGTGTGACGAGAACTGTTGACTTGTGTCTAAAATAATAGTATTATACCACCAGATATCTGCCTCTTGTCCTTAAAAATTACATGACATATATGAGAATCCTGAAAACTAGTATCATCATTCAAGAGTATGATAGATGCTTTGTGATTGAAAGGTCAGACTTCCATCCCAATCTGAAGATGGTGAGGTGGATGAAGAGACAGATGAAAAAGAGATAGATGGGTGAAGAGGGGGCAGAGGTGGTGGGATTTGAGCTGAGTCTTGCAGGATGAACAGGAGGGAAAGGCGGGGTGAAGGAAGGACACCATGTCATGACCTGGAAGCATGATAAGTGTGATATAGCTCAATGTCTCACGGGAACCATATTGATGAGTCCTTTTCCTAAGCTGTAGCACTTTCTTTACTGTGTTAAAGGGCACATCCTTGCCTCAGGTGTCTAGGTAATGAACTGTTTGGTAGGCGGAAATCTTGTCTTCCCTATTAGAAGGTAAGGCCTGGGACCTTTGGCCTTTGTCCTTTTGGAGTCTGTTGGGGCATGCTGATGTGCAGCTTGGTCACCTTGATTCCTTTTTCTTCCTACAGCCTTGTGCAAGCAGAATACTGGCATGACCCCATAAACGAGGACATGTACCGCAACCACAGCGTCTTCTTGGCAGACATTAATCAGGAAAGAGTAAGCACCCAACCCAGGCTGCTGTAGTTATGCTTTCATTTTTCTGTTTGGGGCATTTATCAAAAGATCAGCAGTGACTGTTCACCCAAAATACTCCAGGTGTTTGGGAAACAGAGTGCTGTCTTTTGGTGGGGGAGCCAGTGCTTCTGAGATTCAGTTCCTTTTAGGGAGGCTGAAATGCACTTGACTTTCTTCTCTTAGGTCCTTTCCCATTCCTAGTGTTGAAGCACAGTCAGCGGGTTGCTGGTGGACTTATGTTGAGTTTCACAGCTCCTGTCTTAACTGAGGGAAGTCTTCTTGGTGGATCAAATTTTGGGTCAAATTTTCTCAGAAAAGAGATTTATTTAGAAGAGAGACTGCAAAGGGGACTGCGTGTCCCAAACACAAACATCGTTTGGGAGATTCTGGTAAACTAGGTGGCTCAGTTTATATTGTATTTATCTGGAGGTTTTTTAAAACAATTATTTTGAAAGGGGGGAAAAAAAACAATAGTATAGCAAAACCACTCAGAAATTGCAGCTTATTTTGCTTTGGCTTTCTCTGGCTAGATGTTTTTAACCTATGTAACAGATGCCTGTGGAGTGCAGTGACAGTGACAGATTAATGGTGGCACCATGGTTGGTGGGGACATGCCAGTCAGATAGGATAGTAAGAGGAGGCTGAACAAGGTGCATTCTGGGCAGGAAGCTGAAAAAGCAGCCTGTACCATGGGGAAGAATCATGGTGGTCCAGGGTCTGGGAGACCAGAGCACTGAGAGGCTTCATTTCCCCTGCTGAGACCCGATGGTGGTGTCTCAGAGCCACTGCTGGTCTTTCCCTCCAGGGTGTTAATGAGTCCTACAAGAAGAACCTGATGGCCCTGAAGAAGTTTGTGATGGTGAAATTCCTCAATGATTCCATTGTGGACCCTGTGGATTCTGAGGTGAGGCATTGCTTGGGCAGGCCACAACATGCCAGGAGACCGTAGGAGTAAATGACATTAAAGTACTGCTACCTGTTGGGGAAAACACCTCAGTCCCTTCCACCACTTTTTGTGTACTGCAGGGGTTCTTCAACTGACATCCCTAAGTGGGACACTGAGGGTTGTAAACCCCCTCCATTCAGAATTGTATGCAAAATGATATAGTTGCATTCTCCGAGGAAGGGTCTATCATTTTGATTAGATTTTCAGACCTATGACGCAGCACAAAGTTTAGAACCACCAGCCCGAAGTCTGTAAATCCCTAAGGTTGACATTGAAGGTCTGCCTTAACCTGGCTTCAACCTATTTCTCAAACTTAATCCCCCTTCACTATCCATTGTATACTCTCTGATCAAGCCATAGTGTACTACTTGAAATGCCCCAAGCCTGGCACATGCTTTTTCTCTTGCCTGCCTTTGTTCAAGAAGGATAGTCTCTTAGAATGTCCTTCCCCGGATTTCTCCACCTGATAAGCCCCTATTCACCTTTCAAGGCCAAACTCAAATCAGTTTCTCCATTATGGGTGCCATCACTATTTCAAGTAGAATTTGCTTCCTTTTCTAGAATCAGCCTCTATTATAGCCCTCATCACATCATGTCAGACCACCAGGCCTGCAGGCCAAATCCAGCCTGCCACCTGCTTTAGTGTGGCTCATGAACTAAAAATGGTTTCTACATTTTTAAATGGTAAAAAAAAAAAGATTTTAATTTAATGACGTGAAAAGTATACGGACACAGGTTTCAGTGTCCATAAATAAAGTTCCATTGGAACACAGCCATACACGAGTTTTTAAAAATACTTTCTCCGGCTGCTTTTTGCATTACAATGGCAACACTGAGTGGTTGCAAGCATGTGACTCTTCAAGCTGAAAATATTTTGCATCTGACCTTTATAGGAAAGTTTGCTGACCCCCTGCTGAACAGTTAGTTGTTTCTGTGCCTCATGAGACTAGAGCTTTTTGAAAACAGTGGATATATATGTTCATCTCTGAATGTCTAGAGTTCAGCAGGATTTTCAGAAGATAGCTGCTCCATAATTACAGGAAGCAGAATTTTGGGGAAATTGGAAGGCTCTTTGGAAAGATTAACTCATCTCTCAAGATCTACCCTTAAAAGAGATGACTCAAAACATGCTCTATTTTTCCTCCTTACTACACCCTCATGATGGTTAGTTTGTTGGTAGTCTTAGCTACCAGCCAGTCTTAAATTAGTTTGGCAGTATGTGGCATGTGTTTAATCTGCATATTTCTTCCTTTCCTGCAGTGGTTTGGATTTTACAAAAGTGGCCAAGACAAGGAAACTATTCCCTTACAGGAGACCGCGCTCTACACAGAGGTAACTGGGTCAGGAGAGGTGCTGTCCTTTTCAGCCCCCAGCTCTTAAAGCTACTGCGTTTTCGGGTGATAGACCCTGTCTTGTACGTTCCAGAGCAGTACGTGCTTATGAGGCATCTGACCCACATCTGATAAGGGTGAGGCTAGTTAGGCCGCTGTTGGCACTAGTCTTTTAGGTGCTGCTTTGCAGGTATCTACATCCTGAAGGTCAAAGTACCTGTACTTTATGGTTTTCAAGCATGTCCAAGGGACACATCTCTTAAATTCTTTCTTCTGATAAAAAGGTTTAACACTGGCTTCCTTTGCTGAGGTGCAGACTGGATCAAATCCAACAAGCCCCCAGGCGTAATGAAAACAGACCCGTGTTATTTTAAAACATTGATAGATCCTGATTTTAAATTAGGCACCAAAAAGAAGAGTTCCGCCTGCAGGAGTGATAGTTGTTAACTTTTTTTTTTTTTTTTTTTTTTTTTTTAGCAGTAGGTGGTTTCTCAAGCAGAGCTTGCACCATTTCACCCCCTCCAGCTTCACACTAATGATTTTATGTTGGCAATACTCTCCCAAAAATGCACATAGGCTACTCATGTCTGAACCAGTTGCTTTCTACTAGAATGTCTTCAGATTTCAGAAGCCTATCATCTCCTCTCTTGGCTTTTCTCATGCTTTTGGTGCCCCTCTTAAGTAAAAAGTAAGCTAGGGTCTGTTAAGTTTTTGAAATTACAACTAAGAACCTCCTTATCATGAATCTCAAACTGATCTGGTATTGTCTTAACTGCTTTTCTTCCTACCATACTTGTTCTGTGGCAATTAAGCTACGGGTAATGTTTTCAACTGCAAGATACAAAATTGTCCCAGGTTGGTATCTAAAGGTTGAATGTTTTAAGTTCTCAAGCCAAAGCTCTCCTGTCTTTAGGTCAGTTCCACCTAACTTTTTGAGGGAGTTTTGTCTTCCAGCAGCTTTGGGAAACTTCAGAAAGCAGTGTAAGACTCTATAGAATAATTTCAACTGCATATATTTTTAATACTTAGGGAAAATTGCATTTTGAGAATATATCTCAGGTTAACATTCTTTTTATTTTACTTCAAACCTTTTCACTAAGCCTTTCGATTAATTATGGCCTTCTTCTCCACAGGACCGCCTAGGACTAAAAGAAATGGACAACGCAGGACAACTAGTATTCCTGGGTCTAGAAGGGGACCATCTTCAACTGTCTGAAGAATGGTTTTATGCCCACATTATACCCTTCCTTGAGTGAAACCACTGCAGTGTGCACCAGAGCTCAGGGAGCCCCCAGCACTTACAAACCAATGAGGACTGTTCCCTTCATGCCCAAGCCTGAGCTCCGATCCAGCTTGCAACTAACCCTTCTCTGTAGTCATCATCTAACATGCCCTGCTCGGAGAGACCTCAGATCCAAATCTTATCCTTTGCGTCATCCTATCAGCATATGGTGTTGAATGCAAGTTTAATTAGTTAATAACCATGGAGATTATTTTACAACCATTTGATGTAGTCAAACTGCCTTAGGAATCGGTCTGCTACACGTCTGTGCCAGAACTGTGCCCAGGCTCAGCAGAGAATGAACGGACTAAAGCAATGACACACATTCTAAGGGCAAACATCTTTCTCACAAAAAAAACAGCCACATTTCAAGCCAAGAGAAGGCCAATACCCAGGCCTGATGCTCTTCTTTTGCTGGTGGGGATTTAACCAGGGCGTGGGAAAGTGTTTCTTGGATGTTGCTGCATAATCTGGGGCTGCCCTCCTCTTTGAGTATGGTGTCTTCTGTGGTATCTTAGCAATTATTAGGTTCTGCTAGCCCACCATCTTGCTTCACTAGCACTTTTTGTTTCCTCAGATAGTGATAAATTACTCACTCTGCCACAAAAGGAGGGAAGTAACACCCAACTGGGTTGCTTAAGGGAGGAAGTACGTATTGCTTAACTTAGAAGGGGATGGGAGCAGGGTGGCAGAGAATGTAGAAATGGAAATGTAAAATAAGGCGGCTGGTTCTTTCCATTCCATCCTTGATTCAAGTTATCCTTTCTTAATATGACTAGTGGTCTGGATTCTGAAATCACTGTTACGGGCATTAGGAGGAAATGGGAGGAAAAATGTGAAGGAATCGTATTTACCATTGGAACACTCTTCTGATTTTCCTGTTACACTTCAAACTTGTTTCTGATGTGTTCTGTGAAAAAGACTGTGTGCTCAAAAAGCTTGGAGAATATTGCATACCCCTTTTCTCCTCTTGGAGATAACCCATATTAGAATATTAAGGACTCTGAGAATTCCTATTAGGGTAAAGAAAACCATAATCTACCATTTCCCACACTGTTTAAGCAGACATCTTAGCCCCAACTCCCCTGCCTACGAAAACATCATTTTTTGGAAGATTTGTGCAGAATGCCAGTTTAGGGAAATGACTAGCTATGCCTGAGCTAAGTACCTTGTTAGTGCTATAAAATTTGCCCTTTATTTTTCCTTCACATCTCTCAAACCTTACTTCAACTAAAAGATGAAGCTTAAGGGCAAGAAGTGGGGGGGGATGTGAAAAGAATTGTATGAGGCTGTCTAAAATAAAGAGGAGCTTTTTATCCTTGGTACCATGTTTTCAATATTCTTCCACCTCTGTACAGCAATTATAGGTAAATACTAAGCAAGTTTGGTATTAATTTTTATTCTATTTTCTGTATAACTTTAAGTACATAAAGGTTTATTTCTACAGGCCTCAGGAAATGGGTAGAAGTCACAGGACAGTCTCTCTTCCCACCAAAAAAAGTTGCATATTTTGGTCTGTTTATCCTAGTGGGGGGGAAACTGAAATTTACATTAGCAATGCTGTGCAAGATTCTTACATAGGACCTAAAACCAGCCTGCAGTAGAGATTTTAGTCCTTTGTTCAGGTACCCAGACAGAAGCCAGAAGCTGCTGTGCGTGACAAGGTAAAGGAGAAAAGTGAAGATGGATGACAGGCACCTAGCATGGAAGGAGGAAGGAATGCCAGATTCCTTGGAATGGTGTTTTTTCTTTTTAAGTCATCTCTGTAGGAAGGTGCTGGGCACAGATCCCAAAGAAAAGGCCCAAGACTCCTTTAACTGGCCTGGGTGCAGGGCACGGCCACTGCAGCCAGTACAGGAAAGCCCACTGTCTCAGGTTCAGGTGGAGCCAGGATGGAATGCAGAATAAAATGAGTACTTAGAGGAAACAATTTCGCTTGGAATGCTAGATGGCCAAGCCTCAACCTTTGGTCCAGTGCAACCCTTGCCTTACTTGTCAACAGTGAAAAATTAGTCTTGTTAGAAGAACCAGCTGAATCACACCAGCTTGTTATCTTCGTGCTTACTGTTAGGAAAAGATTAATTTGTGTGAACTTTCTGACCTGTTAATTCCTGGGAACTGCTTTATTCTTCCCCCAAAACTGTTTTTTGGTGGAGTAATCCCCAAAGGCTGAAAGCTAAAACACACCAGGCCTGGTTTGCAGTTCCTTAAGAATGGACTGGCGGTGCGGTTGAGCTGATAAGGAAAAGCTGCACCTTCCTGCGGAAGATCAACTGACCTGCTATCCCACCCAAATCTCAGCCTGAGGTATATTTCAGTGAAGGCAGGTAGCTGTGCTCCTCAAAGCAGAGAAGCAATTTAAGAGCAGAAAGGTAGAGGAAATCTAGAAAAGAACCGTCTTGATACAGATTTATCCCATGGTGTGAGGGGAGAGGGCAAAGAACCCAGTGGCACTTCGCTTATCCAGCAATTTCTGTCACTGTGGTGACCAACTTCTTCCCATTCCATAGGGTCTTGAACTGCTCAGGGACAGGGAACTCATTCTGCAAATAAAGAAACAACATGTTTAAATCTGAGCTAAAAAATAAGTTGGGGTTTAATCTGACTTTTCTTCCAATGCCTGCTTTCATTAAGCTCTGAGAACAGGATGTAGTGAGAGAAACTGACCCCACCTGAAAAAGCATGGCTATGTTACTGGCAGTGCCACGCCTTCCAGTACCACCTCCTCTACCACTGACACAACGAAGTAGCACTGCAGTGTAGGAATGAGAACAGAGACTCCAAAGACACACAGTGTAGGCTGAATCTGTTCCCTACTGTTCACTGACTAGTGACCTTGGACAGACTGTTAAGCCTATGAGGCAGAGGTGAGGATGTGTGGGGCCTCATGGCACCAACTCAACAGGATGCTACCACTCAGTCCCTTTCCTTCTACTACCCTGAGCAGCAGCTCAACCAAATAAAGGCAGACACCATTCTACTCTGAAGCGCTGCTTTGTAGGACTACCTCCCACTTCTCTGTGCTTGACGTGTGCATTGCTGGGTTTGACCCCTCAGTGCAGAATGTCTATCAACTAGCTTTGTCTAATGTAAGAAGTCTTCAGTCCCTTCTGTTTTTAGATCAGAGTACTAAAAAGACCAAGAAACTTACAAAGTCACCGCCTTCTGTAGGAATGAGGACATTCATCTCAGAAGATTTGGCACTGACTATCTCACAATCCAGGGAATTCTTGCTCAGGTAAACATGGCAGCCATCTGTTTTGTTGATGGAAATAGTTGGCACTTTACCCATTACCTGCAGAGAACACCAAGAACACTAAGTCCTAGCAGCTGGGGAGAACAACAATAATTTGCAGGAAAAGCTTTCACTGTTTCATATGATTCAGCCACTACATGAAAAGCTCACAGGTGCACAGAAGATATTGGATACTGAGGGCAGGTTGGGATGGGTGCTGGAAAGAGCTCACTCTAAGAGCCAACTCCTCTCCTGCCACATCCAAAGCAGCTCAGCTTACAGACTTTGTTGAATCAGATTTCCACCAGAGCAACATCTGTGCGTCGGCTGTCTCTCTCTCAATTAATTCCTCAGGGACCAAAGGAAGGAGCCAAGATATCAAGTTACCTGAACTTTGACATCCCTACTATTGATTATCTCCACAATGCCCACCACGTCATCGAACACCAGACCGAGTTTCTTACAGTTATCTAGAAGAAAAGGAGCAAGTCAACAGTGTAACTTCAAAGAAAAGTAATACATTTAAGAATCTTAGGAACTCAGGCTCTAAAACAGAGCCTGCGTAGGACAACAAAAACTCACCTACTGTAATAGAGTTAATTTTGCCCTTGATTTGCAATGTCGTGTCAACACACTTATATATGTAAGCCACCTGTTTCAGCTCTGTGTCATCAATCACCAGGTTGGAAACATTCTCCTGATATTCCTGTTAAAGAGACACCCCTTTCAGCAATTTCATCACTAAGCACACACCACCCCCAAAACAGCCTATCCCAAACCTTCCTTCTTGCAATCTAAGCCAGAATGCTGCATTCCTTTGGCTGTGCTCTGTTGAAACCCTGTCCATTCCTTGTTTCCCTAGTCCCGGTATTATTAACTCACCACTCTCCACTTTTTGCCCTCCAGTTCAAGTAGAGCTGGCTCCTTCTTCGTGGCTGGTTTAGTGGATGGGCTGACTCCTGGTTTAGGTGCAGAGAATGGTTTGGGGCCACTTCGTACTGGACCACTCTGAGCCTTCAGGGCAGGGTTCTTGTGAGTCTTCATGTCATCAGAAACATGTTTCAGAGCTATAAGAACAATGAGCTGCCCTGTTTCTGTCCTTCATATCAGGGCTTTGGGCTGAGGCAATAACTAACTTCTGCTATCAGAAGTTAGGCTGACCCTTAACAAAAATGTTAAAGCAAAAACTGGAGCCTTTGAGATACTCTTTCAAAAGCAATTTTAGAAGAAGCACCTTTTTTTTTTTTTTTTTAAATAAATTTCTTTTATTTTAAAGATTTTATTTATTTACTTTTAGAGAGAAAGAGAGGGAGAGAAACATTAATGTGTGAGAGATACATCAATGGGTTACCTCTCTCATACCCACAACTGAGGACCTGGCCCACAACCCAGATATGTGCCCTGACCAGGAATTGAACCGGCAACCCTTCAGTTTGAAGACCAGTGCTCAATCCACTGAGCCACATCAGCCAGGGCTATAGAAGCACTTTTATAGTTTCTACCCCAAGATTAACTTACATGGTTCCATTCCAAAAAATAAAACACTGCACATATATATGGATGGGGGGGATAAATAAGTAAATGCACAGAAAAAGATCTAGAAAGACACATACCAAATATATACTCAAAAAAGATGTAGCCCTGGTCAATATGGCTCAGTTGGTTAGAACATTGTCCCATAAACCAACAGGTCATGGATTCAATTCCCGGTCAGGGCACATGCTTAGACTGCAGTTTGGTCCAGTCCCCAGTCAGAGAGCAAACAAGAGGCAATTGGTTGATTCACATCAATGATTTTTTTTCCTGCTCTCTCTCCTGCTCCCTTTCCCTTTCTAAAAATCAGTGAGCATGTCCTCGGATAAGGACTAAAAATATAAAATGTATGTAGTTTTTAAAGCAACAGAGGAAGAAAAAGTAACATGTACCAGCAAAGAATATTTGTAAAAACAAGAAACAAAACCTTGCCCACAGCTACCCTCCTGTCCCTCCAAGTCAGTGTTAACATTTGAAACTCCTTCCAGTAACTTTTTCTATTGATAGTTGCTTTTTATTTGGTTATAGCCATACACACTGTTAAATTTAGTTTAACCAGTTAACACCTTAATAAAAAATTTCCATGTTAATTTATAGCTTCTAAAAAAACTTTTTAATTTTAGGGAAAAGATTCCATTACTACCCTTAGCAGACTGACCCACTCCTTGTTCTTGCCCTGGACATAGCCCAAAATACTATATAACCAACATTGAGTGGTGGTTTTAGCTCTACCACTTCTGAATTTTTCTTAAACACTGCTTGGTTGACTATAGAAAGAGACTTAAATGGCTACATAGTATTTCACCGAAAGGGCACACTACAGTTAACCATCTCCTTACTGTTGGATATTTAGGTTATACCACTTTTAGCTACTATAAATATTATAAAACTTGTTCTTTATTTTAGGTATTTTTATAGGTAGATCCCTAGAAAGCTGTACAGTTTAGACTTCCACCAGCTGTATATAAGGGTGTCTACTCTCTCTATACCAACATTAGGTAATTCTTATGCAAATTTTCCATGACTGTTACATATCCTCTGAGGAAGTTAACCCCCAACACAATGACATCCCAAATAGATCACATGTAGTGACATGCACAAAGCTCTAGGGAAAATTGCTGGCACCATGCCTTGGCATAACACACCCCCTATAAGGTGGAGGGCTTTCCCCAACTATAATCCCCCAATTTCAATTTCCATTTAAACCAACTTTGCTGTCATTTTGGGCAGCATAAAGTAATATGACACCCTAAATTAATTATCCCATACACAAACCAGCGTTCTGTTTATAGACTTGTCTGTCTCTCGTTGGTAAGGTCTGACCCAAGCAAGCAACTTACTATACCAACTCTTCTTGCCAAAGTATTCACCTACCATGTGTGATGCTCTCTCCCTGATTAATCTGGGCAAACAGTGCTGAGCGTGAAGCAGTGTCATCTGACCCTGAACTTGTAGGCATTGGTGGGGGAGGTGGGCCAGGTGGTGGGGGAGGAGGACCAGATCCAGCGGAGGGTCCAGATGGCAATCCACTCAGT